ATGTCATTGATGAAGGTATTAAAGGCTACTGGTCCCAATATGGACCCCTGAGGGACACCACTCATCACCTATCTCCATCTGGGCATTGAGCCATTGACCACTACTCTGGATGTGACCATCCAAACCATTCCTCATCCACCGAACAGTCCACCAATCAAATGGGCATCTCTCCCATTTAGAGAGAAGGATGTTGTGGGGGACCATGTCAAAGGCCTTACAGAAGTCAGATAGATGACATTGGTAGGCCTTTCCTTGTCCACTGATGTGGTCACTCCATCTTAGAAGGCCACTAGGTTGGTCAGGCAGGACTTGCCCTTGGTGAAGCCATGCTGACTGTCTCAAATCACCTCCCTGTCCTCCATGTGCCTTAGCATAGTCTCTAGGAAGATCTGTTGCATGATCTTCCTAGGCACAGAGTTGAGGCCGACAGGTTGGTAGTTCCCAGGGTCCTCCTTGCTACCTTTTTTAAAGATGGGTGCAATGTTACCCTTTTTGCAATCTCCAGGGACCACCTTACTGCCAGGACTTTTCAAATATCATGGGGAGTGGCTTGGCAACTACATCAGCCAGTTCCCCAAGGACTCTGGGATGCATCTCATCAGGTCCCATAGATTTGTGCATGTTCAGGTTCCTCAGGTGGTCATAAACCTGATCTTCTCTTACTTAGCTCCTCCAGTCCCTGTCTTGCAGGCCATCCCCTCGAGAGGTGTGGGAATAGAGACTGCCAGTGAAGACCGAGGCAAAGTCGTCATTCAGTACCTCAGCCTTCTCATCCATTGTTGCCAGTCTTGCTCATCAAGGGGGGTGCGCTTTCTTTGACCTTCCTTTTCTGGCTGATGTGCCTGTAGAAGCCCTTATTATTCTTCGCATCCCTTGCCAAGTTCAGCTCCACCTGCCCCTTGGCCCTCCTGACCTCAGCCCTACACAACTGGGCAGTGTCCCTGTACTCTTCCCAGGATACCTGTCCCTGCTTCCACTGCCTCTGCATTTCCTTCCTGCCCTTTAGTTTGACCAGTAGGTCTCCACTCAGCCATGCTGGTCTCATGCCACCTTTGCTTGATTTCTTACACCTGGGGCTCAAGAGCTCTTGTGCTCTATGGAAAGTGTCCTTAAAAATCTGCCAGCTCTGTTCTGCTCCCTTGTCCCTGAGGGCAGTTTTTCAGGGGGTTCCTATTGACTAGCTTCTTGAAGAGCTGGCATTTTGCTTTCCTAAAATTCAGGGTCCTGACTTTACTCTTTGCCTGCTCCATATCCCTCAGGACTGCAAACTCCACCAGTGCATGATCACTGCAGCCCAGGCTGCCTCCAATCTTGACGTCACCAGTTAGCTCACTTGTGTTGGTGAGCGATAGGTCCAGTACAGCAGCATTGGTGATCAGTAGGTGCAATATGGCATTGAATATGTTTCCTTTAGTTGTTGTTTAGTTCCTTCTAAGTTGTTCCTATATCCTCATATCCAAAGTGACGAGATACTTTTTGTTAGTCATTGGAGTGCATGGCACAAAGCAGAGACTGTTTAGGTAGAAATTATCAACATGAATAATAAAGGAAATTCTCTGTACCTCTTTCAGGTACTTTTAGTGGTTTACTATAGTTTACACCTAAGATGTTCTTAAAAGTAAAAAAAAAAAAAAAAAAGCATGAGTTGATAAATCAAAAAGCAGAATAGTTGTCCGAGCCTTGGGTACTCAATCATCATTTGATAATGGGTTTCAATGAAGGCACAGATCCTCCTAAACCGTCCTGCATATCAGTGTAACAGCTTGTGCAATGAGTGTACTGCCCATCAGCAGGGGAAGGCTGGGTAAAGCTCAAGCCTCCTGAAAGGCAAAAGTGCCCACAGTTTGTAGCTATCTAAATCAGTAACTCATTCAGAGTAGAAGTTGTTGTTGGTTTTTAAGTAGGAGCCTGAAATGAAGGTTCATGGCACTTTTAATAGTTCTGTGGGATCCTTAGGCATCTCATACCTTGCTCTTAAAATTTTTCATCACTTTGAAATTGTGTTGTGTTAGCACCAATGATCATTAATCTTTATACTAACAATCAGCATGGTATATAGTGCTTTCAGCAGATCAGGATCCAATACTGATTTTTTCTTGCCATAAAGGCAGAAGAGAGTTGTTAAGAAAGGGTAACAGCTAGATTTTAGATTTTTTTTTTTTAATGAGGAACTGCTTCCAACCATAATGGGAAGTGCTCGGTGAAAGCTGGCATAATTAGTCTGCTAAAGGAAAGAATGGATGTGAAAAACAGAAAGTACCTGAGAAAGGCTTAAAAATAAGCGACTTAGCTAACGTTTTAAGTGGATGAGGAGAGATGGGACAGACCATTTACATCAACATTCTGGTTAGGTGTAAATGGGGTAAATGTCAAGGCCACCAAGGAAGATATTGAAGTAATCAAGGTAGGAGACAATGATAAAGTTGAGACACGCTTCTGGGTGGGAGTTTCTGTTGTGCATTGACAGAAAAGACTATCCAGCAGACAGTTTGAGGCACTGAACAGCAAGAGGCAAAGCTTGGATTTGATTCTGTAAGAAGAGTTGAAGCTGATGCTGAGCACAGGATCTGTCATGGTGATGAGTGCAATTACCTGGAAAAGACTTAGAGAGGGGATTTGGAGTGGGGGAAGAAGATGATAAATAGCTCCATTTTAACAATATTGAGTTTGCTCTGAGCTTACAGCTCTGTTGACAAGCTATTCAAAATACCATGGCTGCATTGAAAAGGTGAAGCACTATCTGATTTGCCCTTTGTAGAACCAATATATATTATAAATATTAGTTTTCTTTTATAGCACAATTGTTGTTTGACACAATTATGGGTTGAAGTGTGTTTTTAAAGTTATTAAATGAAATATGTCCGGTATAAGTATTATAGTATTATTAAAACAAATCAAAGATTTTTTTATTATTGTTATTGTGGGTATTAGTACGAACTATAAACTTCCAAATTTGAAAAATACTATGTTTCTTCAATTTGTTTACTTTTGGGAGGGGCCCTTCATGATAATGATAATAAAGCTTGTTACTATGGAATATTGTTGATGGAGCTTAGATACAGGAAAGACAATTCTTTTTTCATCCATAACTCAGAGTTGTACCGAGTCAACAACAGCAGTGACAAATAGTATGAAATCACAAGACACAAATACTATCTAAATCCTGTCTTACATATTTTGTATTTGGAAAAAAGATATAAAATATGCAAGAAGGCTGTTTTTGGAGGAATAGTGTCTGTGCCATATAACCCTGTTATCTCATGATTTTGATTTTACTTTACTTTTAAATGTGAATAAATTTAGAAAAGGTAGTATTGGTCATTTCCATGCTTTATATGCTCTAGATTACTATGAAACTGCACGCTTACTTTATTCAAACATTGCAGATAAGATGTGTCTTTTTATGACATACTAGCAGCTGTATTTTATTTCAGTGATGTGTATGTGTTTCTCAGATGAAACAAATACGTGCCATGTTGACAATGGTAGGAACAGGATTTGACATTCCTTGAAAACATGTTAACGTTAATATGGTGGGATTTGAGCTTTCCCTTCCGGTTGCTGTTGGTGTCAATGGAGTTAACTCATAGTCAGCCAGTTAAACCAGTGTTGGGTTTGGTTGGATATTCAAGGGGTTTCTACCCCTGCTGTTGATGGACTTGAGCATGGGACCAACAGCTCCAGGAGTGGGCTTAGATAGAAGCGGGGGAGCAGAGCCTCAGCAGTCAAAATGTTTCCATTTTGATACTTTCAAGGACGTGTGTAAACAAAACAGTGTTTTTTCTGCTTCCAGTGCAATCTGTCTGATTTTGATTGTCATCTTAACCAGGAGCAGAATTCTGCCTATGTAGCTTACTCTAATACTGTTCATGCTAATGCAAAGCTAATAATGATGGGGAAAACATCAATGTATCAGTGTGGGGCTTTTCTGTTTAAGAAATACTTAAACTCTATGTTCCTGTGCTGCAGTCTCATTGGTCTTTTTTCTCCCCTCTTTTCTGAGACTTCCAAGAATTGCAGTGAAACAGTCTGCTTGATACTTTGAAGAAAATGAGGAAAACTAGTTGATCGTGCTGCACAAGTTTTCTCCTGATAATTCCAAGTGTTCGAAGACTCAAGATCTTTCATTTTCAGTTTCTTTAAAAGCAGGTCCCCCAAAGTGATCTGGGCTAGATGTAGGATGAAATTACTTTGCAAGTAGGGAAAATAAAACAGAAAGCCCAGTGTACTGTAACTATGATTGTTTGTGTAGGAAATTAAAGTGATCTGTATTTCACTTAGGTCAGCTCTCTAGAGTGTACAGGAAAACTGATAATTTGCTAAAGGATTTCCTTTGGGATTTTCAGTTACATGTTTGGTTACCATAACACTGCTGTTTTGACCTGATGAACACAGCTGAAAGGCTGAAGATTAAGTTTTAGGGGACTGGTGGGTTTTTTTGGTTTGTGTTTTTTGTTTTGTTTTTTAACACTAAAGAAATGTGGTGAGGACTGGTGTGTTGGTTAAATTGACGTTTGTAGAAACACTGCTAGAACTGTGTTTATGATGTGTATGAAAGTACCTGAAGAGTAGAGTGTACTAAAACAGCTACGCTGCAAGCATTAGAAAAAGAGCAAACTTTGTATTCTTTACAATAATGTTTAATATTTCTTCAGAAAAAGTTACTTGCTACAGCTACACAACTCTCTGGAGCCTGGGAGCCTTCTTACCTCCAGGGAAGAAAGAATATTTCAGTTTGCAGTCCATTGCTTTTGTACCAGATGAGTTTTGAACACAAATTACTGTATTACTCACTGATTTGACATTCTTTATTGCGTGGCTGAATAACAGAGCTGAAATCAGCAGATTTTACAAGTGTCATGAAAACAGATTTCATTTCAATTAGAAAGTGCTTTTGATGTTTTTTAACAAACTGGTTTTGCATTAATTGGATTAATTTGGATGAGTGTTAATGGATTAATGAGTTAATTAGTGCCTTCTCTTTTTGCCTTTTGATATAGGAATCAGGAACTGAAAGACTTGGGAGAACTTGCTCCTCACTGGGACAATATGCGCAAAAGTGTTATTGCTCACTGTGATCAGATGTTGAGCATGTACCAAGATACTCTTGCAGAGCTTGGGAAGCATACAGGTATGGAAGTAGCCTCTCTCCTTCTGGGACAGTTAAGAATTAACTAGATTGGTCATTATTAAGTACTGGTGTATTCAGCAGAAATAAAACACATAAAAATGAAGTATTTGTAATCACTTTGTTTCTGAAATACTAACAGATGCCCTATTTCCTCTTCTGATTTTTTTTCATGCATTCCATCAGTTTTTCACAGTTAACATGGTACATGGTTACACAGCAGCAAAAAAAAAATTGAAAAAGTGGTGGTGGGGGGTGGTGTTTTAATTGCACATTCCCTTGAATATGCTGCTCTCCTAGTATTGAATACCATCTGCCAATTGAAACCAGCCTTAGAGGTACTTTTGTCAGTTTTTCTTGAAACCTAACTTAAGTTACATTTAACAGTCTGCAGGAGAACAGTAACATGTAGCTACGCTTTGCATATTCTTAGTGTAGTAGTTGTCATTGCCCACGTTGCGCCAGAAAAACACAGAATTAATACAGGGTGGGCAGTCTGTCCTCAGTCCAGAAATAGCAGTATGTATTGCCTTGCTTTTTTTCATGTGGAGACGGTGGTCTTATATTCTGATGTGCACTGGGTCCTTGTTCAGTTAATACCTGCAAGAGTCAGGGACTATAATGTGTTGTAGTGTCTGCATGCCAGTGGGATAAGACGGCATCAGTGACAAATGTGCAGGAAAGGCAGCTGGTCTTTTCCTCCTGTAGTAATTCATACTCATTAAAAGAACAAGAAAAGACTGCAGAAAGAATTATTTCTTCTTCTGAATTTCTTTTCATTTGATTGTTCACAAATCATTCAAGGAACTTACGATAATTCTTTCCTATTTTGTGAGACTACTGGAATTATATCCTGGATAACACTGTATTTTTGGCAACGATGTCTGTCTTTTTATAGTATGCCTTTCTGTCTCTTCCTGCTGGTGCACCTTCTCTCCCCCACCCAGTTTTTGAGATGTTCTGGAAGGAAATGGGCACATTTGTTCTGAATTACTACAAAGACCTTGTTGTTGGTTTTGCTTTCTTGATGGTGTTACATTTCTAACACCAGTCCTCACAATCACCATCTCAAATATGTGGTTTTGATGACTGTGCTGCCATTATTGCTTGCGTATGTTGTTTCCCTCTATATTCTCACCACTAGATGTTCCCAGTGTGGCCTTACTCCCACAATTGTGTGTGTAGGCAAAGCAGTTCTAATACAGGACTGAGCCTGTGATTTTTCTGATTGCTCTGGGATAGCTTTCTTGGTCACAGGAAAGGAGAAATCCTGTTTTAGTGTATGAACAAAAACCAGTCTCTAACTGAAACTAAGCATTTTGGGATCAGTTGATCACCTGCTTAAAAGTGTGGGGGAAAAAGCTCATCTGTTAAAATAAATGTTGTATGAAAAATTGCATTTGGGTTGCAAAAGTGTAATTTCTTGTATTTATGATCGCTTACCATCATCAGAATATTCCAGTTCTGATTTCGGCAAACTAGCTCCTGATCCATTGTGACCCTTCCTGTGTTTCTGTGTTTTAACTGAAAACATATTTTAATATATTTTATTGATTTGCTGATTAAATTGTGAACACACTTCATAAAGTATCATATGAAGGCAATAAATACAGATTATGAAGGAATCAGTGTAATAATTATCCCTTGCAGGGAAATATTGAAATGACCTTTTGAGATTTAAAAAAAAAAAATTTGACAATGTAATCTATTAAGCATAAATCCTGCAAGGCCTGTATTGATCCAAGTGAATTTGAAAAGGGTTAGTGATGTTAAATGACCTGTCTTCGCTGTGGTTTGAGAGAACTGCAATGGACCAGGGAACCTGAGATTATTGAGGAAGACAGAACCAGCACATGTAAGAAAGAGTAGGAACATTTCTTCGAAAACAAATCAGAAAACCAAAGCAACCTAACAATTGTAGTGAAGGTAAGAAATAATGAGGAGGTGTTAATTTTGAGGCCAACAGTCAGGTGCATACCTAAATCTCGTTTCTGCAACAACCCTTTTTCTGCCCCCCTTGCTAATATGGTGCCAGTAAAATACTTTTTTGTACTTGGAAAACCCCTGATTTTTACATCTTGTCTGAAAAGTTACTTTAACATTTGAAAACTTGCTTTATTGTGATCAGTGGTATATGTGCACATTCTAAAGCCAAATAATAGCACAGTCCTTCTAATGAAGACAGTATTTACTTTTAACCCTGCACTGTAGTATTTTTTTTTTCTTATTCAACCACTAATTAAATTAGGTTATAAATCCTCTGAATAGTGAGTGTCCCTTTAAAGTTCTTCCTTAGAGGTCTAACATTTTAAAATTATAAATATGAAGGGGACGGGCAGGGAGATGTACTATGTGTGTGTATGTAGAGCTAGGCTAAAATCTCAAATCTGCGTTTTGATCCTATAGGCAGAATAGGATTTGGCTGCCCAAAAGTAAAACATAGAGCGCATTCTTATATGCTTCTATTGTCCTTACTTGACTTCAAGCAGATTTTTTTTTCTTCCTAGATCGTTTGAAAAAGTAATTGCAATTTGCTGTGAAACAAGAGATTAATCTCCCTGTATATAGTTTTCAGAAGTTTGTGCCTACTGCTTTTTTTTTTTCAAAGGATTAGGATGGATGTAGATAAAATTCATTTCATGTTTTAAGATACCCTGGTTCCTCTTCCATTCCCATTTGGGATGGTTCTCCTCTATAAACAGTACACATTGTAACTTTAAAAACAAGATTATAGTGTTTGATAAGAAAGCAAGACAGACATGGATTTGACTTCATACTGTAGTTGCTCAAAAAATAATGTTGAGAGTACATTTAGAGATTGGAAATGTAAGTATTCACAAGGTAGAAAATGATAAGATTAGAGATGTGAGTAAAACTTTAATTCAGACTTTTCAGGTCAACATATTTCAACAGTCTTTACTTTCCCATTGTCAGTGTTTCATGCCAAAAAAAGATTTTGCTTTACCGTTCGGCCTGTGTAGGCATCATACTTCATCTTAGTCAGCACATTGCCCACATGAGGGTTGAGGCAGTCCTTTCCATTCTGAAACAGCTTGAAAATTGCAGTGCTCTGGAGTACCCCTGCATCTGCGCTGGAGATCCAGCTCTGCTCGGAAGTAGGCACCCATCCTAGTAGGGGTCGTTTGCAATCAGCAGTACTTCTAGTTAAGAACTGGACAAGGTTGGTTTTCTAAACTGGATCAGGCTTCTGTTATCTGGCCTCAGATGCAGAATTTCTGAGTCAGGTTGTTATTTTGGGAGGCCTTATCTTAAAATAAGGCCTGCAACTGGCTGCATTCCTCTAGGAAAGCAATGGAGTGCTTTTGTCTTTGCTTCACCACCATGTTGGCAGCTGGAGATACGTGGAAGCACTAACTCATTGACACTCTTCTCCCTCCTTGGTAGATCAAAAGCAGGGTTAATGTTAACGTGTTTAGCATTTTTGCTTTTTTTTCTCACTGAACAATTGCTTTCTTTAACAAGTGGCTTTTTACATGTCATAAACAATTCTGAAGGCAATTCTGAAGGACCAACTCCATCTAAGTCATCTAGGTGCAAATATCTCCAATGTCCTTTTGTATCAGCGCTAGGGAAGACTCTGTTCACTCATAAGCAGTGTATAGAAGGGGAGATAGCATCTGTAAGTAATTTTTTTCCAAAATACTGCCACATTTCTTCTATACAATCATATGTTGGGTTTTCTGAGAGATACCTACTTCATGCTCAGCTGAGCTATTTGTGGAATTTAATGGAGGAGGCTGTTGTTAGTAGACTACTTAATTTGTTTTTAAAATTGAGAGATTGCAGTGAAAGCATCAGGAGACTGCATTAGTGTCAGACAGCAATTTTGGCTTAGCTGCATATTCGCTGAAAATGGAGGTTTAAGGAAGTTATTTAAGTTGCTTTGGCTTATCCTCAAACATGGGTGAGATTTTAGAGAATGCCAAGTATTTTTGTTTCAAGGAAACGTAATAACAGGAATCTAAAAGGATTAGGTAACATCAAAACAAATAATTTCAGGTTAATCTGAAACACAGATTTGGTGATTTTGGGAGGGAATAGAACTTTGAAACTTTTGTTTGTTTGTTTTAGTTTGACCTGAAGTGATTTCCTGTGCCGCCCCCCCCCCACTTACCCCCCTGATTTTTTTTCCCCTCATTTCAGTCATCAAAATGAAAATTCTGTTATTCATCCAGCCCTAGAAGAAGAAGAAAAGACAATCGAGGTTAAGGCAATTGAATATTGCTTTGGAGAATTGGACACTATCCCTGCCTCTGTCACACAGTTCCTTTGTGACACTAGGCAAGTCAGACTTCAGAAGTGGTTAGTGTGTGGTGTTCTTTTTTTGGAAGCCTGGCAATAGATGCAAGCTGTTTTGCAGAAGTACTCAGTACTTACGGATGTAATTCAGCTCACTGGGAGCTGTGCCTCCAAAACGGAATGTGATGTTGCATTATAATGCGTGCGCTGCAGAATGAGATTCTCTGTATCTCATATTGATGCATTCTTTCTTAAATGCTTCAACCTTAAGTTATTCTCTGCCATTAGAATGAGTAAAATTATAACCCTTTTACTCACCCAGCTAAAATTATTCTACAAACATTTGTAAAGCCCTTAGAAACTGTAGTGATGCATGCAGTAGACAGATTTGAGAAAATTAATAATCCTGTCTTTGTGGGAGGCTTGAGGAATATATTTGAATCTGGATAACGAAGTAGAAGTTGGAAACAAAATATTGAATCACTGCTGCGAAAGTGAGCAGTAAAGACCCTAAACATTCAATGACCTGGAAGAAGCTAGCATGTAGTATGTCATTGAAGTTTATTGCACAGTTCCTCTTCAGGTGGATGTCAGGTGAAGGTTGCATCTATATTGTGGTATTTCCTAACTTTGAAGAGTTTAATCTTACAACAATAATAACACCACCTATTTTAATAGAGAGAATGTAGTTTTCTTGGTCCTTAAGTACAACTTACTAAGTTATTTAAAACAAACGAACTATACTGAAAGTTAGTTTTATCATATGGCAAACTGGCAAAAACAGATTGAGATATTAATTCCACTACATGGATATCTCATACCTGAGTAACAGAATAACTGATAGCAGTGGGTGGTTATTATCCCATATGTTTCTGGCACTGGACAGGAAGGGATTCTTGCTTCATGGGTCTTCCCTGAAAAGAGAAATAACAAGACTGGGCAATGCTGCATGTGTTCAGCTCCAGGGAGAGCAGGCTTTCCTCCTGTTCTCCCTCCTACTCTTCTTTTGCCAGTCCCTTTTAATCTGCTGTTAGCTCATTCACCTCTTAGTCTGCCAGTGTTTCCTTGTCGCCGATCCAGTTATCATTCCTTAAGCTTTGATCTTGGTCTCAGCTGAATTCTCATAAATAATCTGCCCCCTTTCTGTTTTCTTTCCTAATGGTTTCCAACCTCCTCACCTGCACTGTTCGCATTTCTTTTCTGATACAGTTTGAGTTCCCTTCACTGCTCCCATAATTTTGCCTTTCTGCATTTCCCAGATGCAGGTTTCCTGCTATTATTCCTCATCATCTGTGACTCCTGGTTTAAGCCTGCATCCCCAGGTTTCCTATCAAATCTGAATCTTTGACTCCTGTCAGTTGCTTTTCTTGCTACTGTTGCTCTTAATTTTTGTAAAATTATAATGTTAAGTTACTAAGCTTAGGCAGCAGCCTAAGCTGATCTGGAGCATCATTGATGCCCTCTGGCAATGTCATTTGCATTGGGAGGCTCATGTCAGCATCTGTGACAGTTTCAACAGATAGCCTCTAGGAAATCTTGATTGATCAAGTCAACAAGAAGAATGTCAAAATTTCCTTTATCTCTTTTTTTTCCCCAAGAAAAGGTCAAACCTTTCCAAAGTGTTTGTTTTTTTTTAATCCCACCTGAATCAGAGGAGTTTTAGTCCAGATGATCAATAGTTGGCAAAATGATAGGATGCTGAAAGAATGGTCTAAGTAAATGTTGGGCTACCTGAGTGAGAAGGTAGGACCACTTCTCTTCCCTAATCTACACCCTTTTCTTTTATATATATGCTGTATCCAGTACCTCCAGGGAAATTAAATTTTCATGCTGTCAAGCTTTAATTATATTCCTTTATACCACCATAGACTTACTCATAATATCATACCTTTGAAGTATGCAACCAGATTTTTTTTTTTTTCCAGAGCATTGTGCTTCTTGTGATTATGGCTTTTTAGAAAGAAAACTAATTTATAGCTTTTCTGAAGCTACTTTATATTTCTTTATTTGAACTTTCTAGGAAGAATGCATAGCCTAGGCAATATAATACTTTTGTTTTAAGAAAAAAAATATTACTTGGTGAAAATGTAGTACCATCATAGCTCTGTACCCCTGTGTTTTTAGCACATATAATAAACATAATGCACATTAACTGTGACATAATTTCCAGCAGAGTACAGACTGATTTCAGACAGCAGGAAAAATATCTATCACCTTGAATAAAAAATTAGATTGTTCTGTGAATTAAAAGCTGTTTTGTTGCTTCCATTATGGATACATGCTGAGAGTCGGTTAGTGAACCATTCTTCTCCTAATATACAATTACACATTAAAAGTCAATTAAAGACAACTCCTAACATACAAGTACTGTCCTCACGCTAAAAAGAAGACAAAACATCTGCTGGGTGCTTAAGTTAATGATTCTTTAAACTTTTGTTTTTCAGGTTCTTCCTTCAAATCAAGCTGTAGCAAAGGAGAGAAGACATTAGAATTCATCCCAATAAATCTTCATCTGCAAAGAATGCATGTGCATAGTCCTCGATTAAAAGGTAAAGCATATTCTGTGGAGAAATTCCCTAAGTATAACAACATATGCTTTGAAATGCAATTAGAATTGCAACTGAGAGGTATGGTTGCCATGTTAGCCCTTTTTAAGATGTAAATATCTTTATATATCCAGTTTCAAGGATGAACATTAAGTGGGCTTCCTTTCAGATTAAACCTTAAAACCACAATAGAACTGAAAGGTATGCTGTTCAGAGAGTTGAATCTTGGTAATTTTGAATTTTTCAGTGAATGGAAGGATATAGGCAACAGTCTCGTTAAACTTCGTAGGTGGGACATAAAGATGCTACAGATGAAAAACATGGAAAGCAACAGTATTAAATTGATTATTTTTTATTAAACTTATGTGCAATTTTGGCTTACGTGGATTTGGAGAAACAAATATCACAAGAAATACAGTGATTTTTAAAGAAAATTCAGAGATTCATTTCATGTTGCATGTGTTTTGCCAATCAGTAAAGTTTGTACAGTATTAGCTTGTTTGTAAGATTCATGCAATATGGCTTGATACGGAAGGTTTCTTGAATGACTAGGTTGTTGCTTGATTTTTTGGCTTGGTGGTTGTTCAGGTTTTTTAATAAAATCAAAATCAAGCTTCCAAATTCATTATTTAAAAATCTGTACTGCTGTACAAGTGTTTAATTTTTCATTTTGTTTAATGGGCTCTAGAAACTTTCTGTGTGGTTATTTCCTGCCTTTGTTTTGTGTACATATCTGGAACCTGCCTGTCTTGCTGAAGGGTTTGATTTCCTTCTCTCAGGTCTGTGCATCTGCTTCTAAAACCCAAGCTTTCAGTTTTGGATGTTGTTTGGTATATTTCTAGAGCAATTGAGTATGTGCTGTCCGTAGAGGACCACACTTAAGTAAATCATGAGATCAAAGAAGTGACCAGCTTGCCCAAATTTTTCTACAAATTCTGAAACCTGCACCCAGACATACTGCCACTGAGATAGATCAGAAGTCTTGAGTCTGTGCTGAAACTTAGGAATCAGGTCCAAAGTTAAAGCTATGCAAGGGATTTCTCTGCCTCATCTTCTGAAGCCACAAGTTTTAGATACTGATTGCAGATCTTGGAAAACTAAGGAGTGGTTAACTAAACTTCTTTTAAGTTCTTAAAATAAATTCCAGGGGTGTTGTGCTCATTTTTTTTCTGTGATACTCCACACAAATAAGTAAATGCAGAATAAATGTTCACTGAAATGTATTGGTAACCTAGGCGTGGTTAAAAATACTCTGTTGTAGCAGTGCAGAACTAATGCTGTCATGATTCATACCGACACACTGCACAACGTTCAGTAAGATTCACATCCGTCTAGGGCATCAGCTTAATTTTTCGTTGTGATCCATAATGCCAGAAAAGCCAGTCTTACCTGTTTTGTTTCTAAGGTGGTTGGGTTTTTTACCACTGTGCCACCAGGGAGAGTGATAGAGCACAGCACATTTCCTCCCAGAGACTGCTGGGCTGAACTCACCAGGTGATGCGAGTTGCACGGTTCCATTAAGGACAATGTTAATTCTAAACTTAATATATCCTGTTTTTGAAGAAGCCTTAATGATCCCAGAGCTACTTGTGCCTAAATCAGCTTATTCAGTGCTACCCTGTGCCACATAAGCATTTGCTTAGTGTTAAGTGCAAGTATCTTACTGATTGTGCTGAAAATACTGCGAACTTCTAATACCTTCTGGAAAGGGGGATAATTTTCTGTAATATTGTCTGTGATTCTGTTTAATACAGAATTCTGTTGCTGGTGCTTACATACAGTTTTAGCAGCATCCTTTACAGATAAAAGATTATATTGATACATACATATGAGCAAATCATAGTGCAGCGAATAATTTGTTCATAAATTGAGATCTGTTAAATTTGCTGTCAACTGTAGAAACATGGAAATTAAACTCTGTAAGGTTTTTGCCTTATAAATACACTCTGCATCTAAACACATTGTACGACAGTGAATACAAACAATAATTATAGGCGTATTATTCTGTGTACTGCTGATGTTCATCCACATCCATGCTGGAACATAGGGACTTCTGATTATCTGTTAGATACTGTATTGGTTCAATATTTTGTTATTTCTTTTACTAATATGACAGCACAAATTTTAATTTAGCTGATGCTTTGAATTTATTTAATTAACTCAAAAGCATTTTTAGATTTGTAATGACTAAAGGTGTCCAGAACCTTAATTTTACATCTTTTCAAGAAAACCTTTCTGGGAACAGGGCATTGTTTGTTTATTTGCTAAATAAAACAGTGGGATGAAATATGCCGCTTAATCACCCACAACTTTTACACTACTTGAGTTTTGTTTTGTTTTTAATGAATTTTGTCCTTTCTTCTCCATAACCACTTTGCTTGTGGCATATGGTTAATCCATAATTGAAAAGGGTACAGAAAGAGATAAATGTTAGAACCATCTTCTGAATTTAGAACTTCGTTTAAATTATAGAACCCTCCCTTTTTTCTTTAGCTAATGTTCGCTCCACTGACATGAGAATTAGCTAACACTGTTCTCGTTACACCCAAGTTTAGAGATTGCGAAATGTTAATAAAGAGAACTTGGGCTAAAATCAGGGAATTTCTGCCTACACATATTTTTGAAACACTGACACCTTAGTTATGGGGAACTCTTTTTATTTCTCTATATACAAAATGGGTTCCTCAATATATTTAGGATAGTCTGGTAATACTATAGTATAAATATAACACAAAGTAATTGAAGATTGTTATTATATTTGCCTTTGGCTGGAGAAATGATTTCTGTACCTATTCCATAGCCACTGTCCCATCTGTTTCATTTACCGAAAAAAGTTTCATTTTATGAGCACTAAAGAGTTGTGTCTTGTATTAGATATATACACTTCGAACAGTTTGTAGCAATTGCTAATCATTCTGGAGTAAGCAGCACTTTGACATCAAGTTAGTCTTTCTCATCTCACGCTTTGGTTGGCACCTGGAATATAACCAGGAGACTGATAGGAGAAGAGAAAAAAAAACTAAAATAAAAAAAAGCGTGTAAACATTCACAGAGGTGGTGAATAAACAAGCTGATGAGCCATAAAGCTGACGTTAACCTTTACACTGCTGGGTATCTTAATTTTGGGAATGCAAGATAGGTTTTAATCCCACCTATCATGTGTATGCACATGGATATGTGCTTTTTTGTTCAACATGTTCAATAACAGATTTACTTTTACTGAGCTTTGATTTGGGTTGTTATTGGGTGCAGACATGGAATAGAAAATACCTGTGTGTTTAAACTTCCAGTAAGAACAGCTTTGAGAAAAATACTGTTTCATTATGGAATATCTGTATCCCTACCCATTTAATAAACAACAAATTTTGCTTTGTTCATCATACTACAGAAGTTAAATTTATATATTGCCATAGCTTTGCTTTTGTCCCTGTTTATACATTAAGTGTGCTTGTTTTAAATAAATTTGGTGGACTGAAGAGGTAATATTTTTTTTTCTTCTGGCTAGTGTGAGACGCTGACTGCCTCCTGTGAAGGCAAGCAGGTTGCTTCAAATTTGAGGTTGAGCTATGCTTGACATAAAATCCTTCAGCTCTTTAAACTGGTCCGACAAAGTTTAGGCTTATGGAACTTCTGCCATGTTGCTGTGGTTGTCTCTGTGTTGCAAAAGCTCTGTGTTTTATTCTGGGAGAAGAAATGAGCAGGTAGTTTATATTTCTGCACAGTGAAGGAATTGTTGGTTTTTGGTGAGTGTGTAACTGGTTTCACTTGTATAAATGGGAGGTGAGTGTATCTTTGAGTCAGAATAATCAGTATGAAGTGATGATTGATTTAAAGCTTAGTTTCCTTGCACTCTAATCTTTTGCATTTTCTTCCTTCAAATTCTCAAGTAATTATTTGAGGAAGGGTTGGGGGGGTAACATCTATTAATTAATAATTTTGGGGGAGCACGCTGACAAGGCATTCCTCCCGAGTCTTGCAGCGATTTCCAGTGTACTGTGCTCTGGAAAGTGGGAGTGAGACTGCCCCGTGCCCATCACCAGGGTCATAGACATTTTCTTTTTATTTGCCGTCCTCACTTTCCCATGTTCGTTTGCGTGGGGTGGGTGCTCAGCTGCTCTGGGTGTGCTTGTGTCTCAAACAGCTACTCCTGGACCATGCTAAGAGGAGGCCACAGACTGAATGAAAGCTTCCTTACTGGGTAAATCCTCCTCCTCAAAAGTAGCTGTAAGCAGGGTCACTATTTATTTTTAAGACAGAGTTGGAAAAAGCACCAGGCTTTAGTCTTTTAAATGTAGTTTCATCAGTTACCTGTAAACATATTCAGAAGCCATTATCTAGTCAACCTGATGGGTTCATCTCGTATTTTGGTTTTAAGGAATAGAACTACTTATTGTCAAGTACCAATGGAGCTCTAATAGCCCAAGATTATGTATTATGGATAAATCTCTATGAAGACCTGAAAGAATGGGCTGTTTAAGAATCTTGAAGCTCACCTGAGGCTAATGAAATTATGTCATTTCTCCTTTTAAGTGGAAATTGAAGAGTCACCAATTCATTAGAGTTCAAATCAATTTGAGTGAATGTGCTTTGAGATTCAGCTCTGGAAGTAAAACATAGTTCATTAACTGTGAATCATTTGTACAGTGTTCTTGCTTTTAGGGATATTTATCATTAGAATGCAAGAAAAGTTCTATTTTAGGAGAGGATTAGACTGTAATTTGCATGGAAATCTTCCTTGATGAATGAAATAGCTCACAAAAAAAAAATCCTCTGATGTTTCCTTTAAAAATACATTTTAAGAATGAGGCATTCTGGCCTGTATCTTTGTACCTCCAGTGAGCTTGGGCACAAAACAGGTACTGTTTAGTGCAAATGTAAATTCTACAAATGTAAATTTAAACTTTAAAGGAATAATTATTGTGGTTTGGGACCCAATTAAATCTTCATCTCTGCACTGACAATCACAGGCATAAAAAGAGAGGCTGTTTTTAAAAAGGCGTTTCATGTCCAGTTCCGTAAGTGTACATCCATAGAAAAAGTTCATCACATATGTCGCAAAACATCAGGTACATATAGAGAGTAACAAGTGTTTGTTGTTTCAGCAAAAATTTCAATAGTATAGTTTATTTCCCATTCTGGTAGCTCATTCAAGTGAAAACTGACTTGCTTTCTATTTATAAGCATATGTAAAAAGTAACTATATATCATAGAACAGAGCTCTTCAGTTTAGCATGAACCAGGTAATTGTATCTGAAAGTGGAAACTAAACAAATTCAAACTAGAAAAGAAGTGGAGAATTTTACTAGTCAGATTGATTAATCATTGGAGCAACTTCTCTGGGAACTGCAGTGAATATTGTCACTTGAACTCTTAAAATCAAGATGAAATATCTCTCTTTTTTAAAGACATGCCTTCACTGAACCAGAAGACATAAGCTTGATGCAGGAATCATTAGCTGTAATTCTGTAGCCTATATTATTCAGGCAGTCAGACTATTCCATCATAACGGTCTCTTTTGACTCTAAAATGTGTGAATCTCTGCATCTCAACACGACTACAAGTTAAATGATGGGAAGGGTAATAAAGTGAAATACACAAAGCGCCAATTTCCTTGGCAGCTTTGTAAACTGCAGAGCTAGAATATTGTTCTACACTGTGCCATATAATTTAGATGTAGCAATAAATCAGGTAAACTTTCTAAGGTGTGCAGGTGGCTGGATGGAAAGATTGATTAGCTCTTGGGCCTCCTTGAGACACAGATTCTCGATTATTCCTTGGGAATAATAGACTTGTCCTCATGTCTTGCAGAGTAGATATCATAGTGTTGCTGTACCTTGGGCCTTGGGCATAGGCACATGCAAATCTCTGTGCTTGTCTGTTCCCGTTTTAGATGCTCTGTATGATGTCATCACCGTGGGAGCCCCAGCAGCCCATTTCCAAGGATTTAAGAATGGTGGTCTCCGAAAACTGCTCAGTAAATTTGAGGCAGAAAGACGGAAGTAAGTATTTTTGTAAGTAGCTAGGAAAATTTCATTGAAGTTGCATTAAAATGTTATGAGCTCACTGAGTAACAAACCAGTTTATCCTGC